CACTTTCTTCCCGAAGTTTGGGGAATGACGTCAAAGGGAGGGGGGCTGAACCCCCTTTCCCAATTGAATAGGAAACCACACCGCTAGGCAAGTGTCTTAACTCAGGATGTTTTTTCGCGATGTCATGTCTTGGAGGAACTGAATAGGAAAATACACCCCTGGGTAAGTGGCTTAAGTCGCAAAGATTTGTTCGCAATGTGACGTCTTTTTCCTTATATGCTTTAGATCCCTTCGTCCACAGCAAACTAGGGCCATAAAAATACATTCCTCCTACGAGTGGTGCCACAAATTTTGAGCTATGGAAGACATTTTCATGTGATTTCGGACACTAAACCAAATGGAGTGTCCTCACAGAAAATCCTTCTGGGCGAGGCTATCTAATGTGTCTCTTGAACCTTGGCGGGAAGAAGCCAAGGGAACCCGCACAATAAATTTATCGCCCTTCACTACTCCAACTCCTCAGAATAGTGTCATACGTTCCAAATATGGAAAAAGTGTATGCCACATTTCTCGGTTATCGCGGGTTTTGGGAAGGCATAGGCCATTCCATTTATTGGGTTGCTGAGACCAATCAAAGAAACAAAAAAACAATGTTAGATATAAGTTACCCACCAGAAGTTGTAAACGGAACTTGCCGCTCGTAAGCAGACACTTTTGTGATTGAAAACGTTGAAGTCGTAAAAAGCAACCAGTACTGTTAAAAGTGTTCGCCGGATTTTATCAAGCTGTCCGATAAAACGATAAAGTTTTAAGAATTTTATCGGCAGATATTAAGATGGCATAAGCTACATAGTTTTCCATAGACTATGTGAGTAGGTACTTTCAACGTAGAAGCATCAGTCAAATTTACGACTTGTTGCGAAAAGGGCCAGAAACACGAATTTGGATGTACTAGCTCAATTATTGGAGTGGGTAACTGCCGCCTTGCTCCCTCCCTGTTGGGCCGTCACTGACTACAACTGCAACTAAAGGGTCCATGCAGGCGTGCAAGGGTCATGCTGATATCTAAAGGAGGTCCAGTCTGAACGTAAATGAGACGAATAGGTCTCGTGGCTGTGCAGAGGCCATGGAGTGCCCTGGATTTGAACCGAAAACGCCGCGCGCAATTCACGAGAGGGTTTTTTTAGCTATCCAAGTAAAGATGAAAGAAGTATCTTCTAGAAAGAAGCATCTTACTTTCTAAAAGATAGAGGGCTCCTAGTCTTTTACCCTTTTTACATGCAAGTAGCGAAGGCTACAAGGGGAGTGGGAAACAAGTGGTGACCCTATTTTGTCGTAGTCTTCATCGCTTTTGGCTTTCACCCTGTGGCATTTTATATTTGATACTTATATTTTGACTTGCTTCATTAGGCTTTTACTTTTGACTTTTAGGCATGTTACTTTTTTCTGTTCAGCTTGTTATCTTTACGTTTTGCAGCTTGAATTTAACCCATTTGTCTTTCATCCTTTTTGGGTTTTTGCATTTCACTTGTATATTTTTGATTCTTGCCATTTGTTTTTTTAACTTTTTTTTATTTTTGCCTTTTTGGCATTTGACTTTCATCCTGCTTGGCTTTTTGTCATTTGACTTCATCTTATTTGGCTTTCTGTCCTTTTAGTTCTTATCTTTTGACTTTTCGTTCGGTTACCGTCATATGGACTATGTGATACCCCCAATTCCAAGCCAAATGGCGCAAATAAGGGATCCACTATGTTAAACACCAGGGAGAAATCGAAGCGATAGTATAACGATTCGTTGACTTCGCGTAATAAAAGCTTCACGTTCGCACACATTTTTGTTTAAACAGAGTGTTTCAAGCTTTCGTATCATTTAGTGCACAAACATGTTGACGTGCTGTGTTGTAAACAGTACAGAATAAAACGTTGGAAAAAGCAAGGTAAATGAAATGTATTACTTCTATGGTGGTGAGCATGTAATACAATGAGACTTCTCCCACAGGAGTGGCTACTTCAAATATAAATTCTGAGACATCAGCAAGGTTTTGGGAAAACAAGTTTCGCTGGTCAACTTGCACTCGCCTGATCTAACAGTAAGTGAAAAGTACAAAAGTGGCACGCTCCGTTTAAAGCATTGGCTCTAATTTGCTTTTCTTCTGCAAACCTGCGTTGCGTGACATCCTCAGTACAACAATTCGCCGAAGTCTGCGTGCAGCAAAAGGTTGGCTGCGTTTATAAGGCAGGTATACACCAGCGACATATCATCTGGTTTAGTGACGCCCATGTTTCACTGATGCACTTATTGCCAAATGCTTACGCCGGGCGTTGTGAGAATGACAAACGTTTATATGTACTGACAGCACTCATGCCTAATCAACACGCAAATATATGATGTGCCCACCACCGCAATCATAGTGGGTAGAAGCATCGTGCAATTTGAATGAAAATATCACCTTAGATCACTCACTTGCCAAATAAATCGTAATTATCCCCAAATTGTTAGTTACCTAATCACTCATGGTTATTATTCTGTCCGTGTTGTTTTTCCAGTGCAAAGGGTCAGCATGGTTCACTGTATAAACAGTTGTGGTGGACGATTATCTGTGAATGAGCCACATGTGTGGATACTGCAAATTGTGTAAACACTTAGCAATGTGTTCACAATGTTTCACCCAACGTGCGATGGCTGGCTACATTTTCGACGACCACGTGTAGCATTCGGCGCCGTTTTCTCGGAATTACGACGCTTCCGGCTCGTCCGACGATTACTGGCGCAGCCGTGCGTCGTACAAACTCGTGCTGACCTCATGCATTGCTGACGGTCTGGGGATCGACGCCTTGGACTTAAATTCACACTTCTACCCGCTTTGGCTGCCGATATATGGTATAAAATGTGAAAACGTGCCAAACCAGGCCATTCCGACTTGACCGCTGCTGTACACGTGACACGTGGTATATATTACTGCATATTTGGCGCCATGCAATCCGCCGCTCAACCGTCTACCGAGACGGGTCGGTTTCTTGTCGCCCCGACCACGGGTTAGCGGAATGTGGCCACGGTTCCTAACGGCTGCTTGTCAGCTTTGTCGTGGGTTACAATTTTTGGACACCCGTGCAAATTCAGTGGGCCTAAAATAAATCCTCCGGCACGTGGCACGCCCGAGCCCCGGATTGCAGTGAGTCGCAAGCTACCTGTGGAAAGCCACCTCGTGCGCCCGCGCGTCGTGTCCAACCATTCGACGGCTTATCTTCTGACCCTGGCGCGATGCAGGGCGAAATAAGACAGACTGACCATGAGAAATGAGAAAATGAAACTGAAATGAGACAGGCTGGCAAAGCAAATAGTTTATAGATTCGAAAGGCCTTCCTGCGGACACCTTCTCTGATCGTCATTATCACTTCCTTTGCCTGACGAATGCGTATATATATATATATATATATATATATATATATATATGTGTGCGTGTATATATGCATACATGTAAGTGATGTTAAAGACCTTGCGTCAGCCCGTGCCAGGCGGGCGGCCAGTACCCGCCGAATGAGCAGTACGGCGCGCCGGCCACCACCTCCGCGCTGGCGCACGGCGGCGGCAGTGGCGCGTCACGTGGGTGGATCTCACCGAGGTAGCCTAGAGGTTGTACGGGCGCTGGCGCTGCGCGTCCGGGGAGCCTGGCTGGTAGTAGGGGCACCAGTAGTGCGTGACGGAGGGCCCTCTGGGGGTGGTGGCCGGTACCCCGGGACGGTCAGCCTGCTGCAGGGACTCGTGGCACTGGAACCCTCCGCGCTGATCCGGACTTTCCGCTCCATGGACCTTGCACTTTGGCTGTACGATCCCACTGTGAGGCATAGCAGCAATGATAAGCACGCAGCGTGTTTGTGTCAATAGGCCCTCATCCTCTCCCGCGTCCGTTGTCCCAGGGCGTGTCCGTGCTCCATTCCGTGTCGTGTCGTGTCCCTGACGTCCGCCCCGTGCGTTCAGGCCTGTTCTCTCCTGGAGTGTCGGTGCCTCTGGCCGTGCCGGGCCAGATGACGGACGTCAGCTCCCCGTACTGGACGCGACTGCAGTGACGTGCCCCGCTGCGGCCGGCGGTGCCTGGCTGCCACGCCGCCGCTGCCCGGACTTGGGACCTCGCCGGCCGCTCGGAGCCGGCAGGTGGCGCGCGGCCCCACCCAAACGGACACGCTGCGGAGTATCGGCCCCGTGGACTAGACCTTTATTGACTGCGGGATAGATATGTCAGTTGATGTATTGTAAAAGTGATAGCAATATGCGTGACACTGTATGGCAAGACGCAGTATTATACTACATCTAAGAGCATCGCTTAGCTTTGGTGTCTATATGAGCACGTATCTCGACCACCTAAGAGGAATTCCTGTATTTACATGCGTTGACGCAAAGTGCAGAATAAAATCAACGATTGCACACATTTTATAACTGCGACAGTTTACACGCTTAGTGCCCGACGACTTCCAGAAGACATTCCGTCGACATAACTGCTGATCTAAGCGTGCAAAGACATTTATCCAAGTATTTGGGACTTCCGCGAAATGCACTTCCGACAGCATGTCTTGGGTTTATCAGCGACTTGAGGAAGTGGCCCGAATGGGCTCCTTTCGCTTCATAAAAGTCCCACCGTCTTAAAAAATAGTATTAAATGTCACCGTCATAAAAGTCACCAACTGACTGGCTAAAGGCCGACCTGCCTGGCCGGGCTGGCTGGCTGAAGGCCGAACTGGCTGATGAAACAGCACGCCACTTGACCGAGGGTGCATCACTGGGCCGGTGCCAGCGGATGGTGGTGTTCACTATCAGGTGGTCCGCACTATACACGCGTAAATCACTTCGGCACACTGCAGCTGAAGAGGCCCGCCTACTGACCGGCATGTAGCCTTCGCCGGGGAATACTAAATTATGCGCGTTGGCGCCTGTCGTCAACGGCAGTCCAGCACGTCCCGCTCCCATGCCTGCGCATATCCAATCACAACCGCGCGCTGATCGCCACAGGGTGTCAGCGACCGGCGGAGCGTTTCTAGGGGCCAGCAGACTGGCGGCAGCAGGCGTCACGCGCGGTGCTGCTCCTCACATCGGAAGCTGCGGCGGCCGCCTGGCCGAGCCAGGACCAGCCGATGGAGCTCACCGTCGAGACGGGCGAGGGGCGGCCGGCCAAGGAGCCGGCGCCGCCGCGCTTCAAGGGCGACTTCGACGAGCTCATCGACCTGGTCGGCCCGTTTGGCCGCTTCCAGTGGCGGCTGTTCTTGCTGATGCAGCCGCCGTTCGTGTTCCTGGCCTTCACCTACTTCAGTCAGATCTGGCTAGTGCTGGAGCCTGACCACTGGTGCCGCGTGCCGGCGCTGCAGGCGCGCGGCTGGAGCGACCTGGCCGCCAGAAACCTGACGGCGCCGCTGGAGCAGAACGGTGGGGTGCTGCGCCACTCGCGCTGCTACATGTACGACGTCAACTTCACCGATGTCGACCCGGCCTCGTGGGCGCCCGACAACGAGACAGCCGTCGTGCCCTGCCGCCACGGCTGGAGCTACGACTTCTCCGAGATCTACCCCACCATTGTGTCCGACAATGACTGGGTGTGCGACAGCGCCTGGAAGCCGACGCTGGCGTACACCATGTTCTTCGCCGGCTCCATGGTGGGCACCATCGTGTTCAGCTACGTTGCCGACAAGTTCGGCCGACTGCCTTCGCTGGTGCTGGCCAACCTCACCTGTTGCTTGGCCGGCTTCGCCACGGCTTTCTCCACTTCGCTGCCCATGTTCGCGGTGCTGCGCTTCATCGTCGGCATGGGCAACAACCTACAGTGCACGCAGGCCATCGTTTTGCTGTCCGAGTTCGTCGGCCCGCGCTACCGCGCCATGGTGGTGAACCTGCCACTGGCCACGTCCTTGTGCGGCGCTATGGTGGTGCTGCCGTGGATGGCCAAGCTGCTGTACCACTGGACGTACTTGGCTATGGCCTCGTCGCTGCCCATGTCGTTCGTGCTGCTGTACTACGTCTTTCACGTGCCCGAGTCGTGTCGCTGGCTGCAGCACGTGGGTCAGATCGAGCGCGCCGTCCAAGAAATGCGCGACATCGCGCTGGAAAACGGTAAGCAGGTGCCGGACGACACGTGGGATAGCTTCACAGTTGCGGCCAAACAGCGTCACGAGGGGGAGCTGACTCAGAGTCATCCGACGCTGCTGGACATGCTGCGTTTGCCGCGCCTGCGCAGCCGCATGCTTACGCTCACCATCGGCACAATGCTGGTGGCGCTGCAGTTTGACCTGATCGCGCGCAGCACCGAGCTGGACGTGGACGTGTACACGGCGCAGTCGGTGCTGGGACTGACCGAGGCGCCGGCCGACCTGCTGACCTGGCTGCTGCTGGAGACGCTCGGCCGCCGCTGGACCATGACCGGCTCGCTGCTGGCCACCAGCGGCCTGGCGCTGACGCTCGCTGCTCTCCTGCGCCGCGGAGACCTCGCTGTCGCCTCTACTTGCGTCGCCTTCTTATGCCGTTGCGGCGCCACCATCGCCTATAACGTGATCGTGCAGCAACAGATGGAGCTGGTGCCGACGGTGATACGCGGCCGCGCGGTGGGCGCCGCGTTCGTGGCCGGCCATTTCAGCGCCGCGTTCAGCCCGGCCGTGCTGCAGCTGGCGCGGCTGGACCGTGGTCTGCCTTCGTTCGTGCTCGCCACCGTCGCGCTGCTGGGCGCCTGCGTGCTCAGCATGCTGCCCGAGACGATGAACCGACCGCTGCCCGACACGTTGGAGCAGGGCGAGCGCTTCGGCAGAGAGCAGCGCTTCTGGCAGTGTTTCTGGCACAACCCCTGGCGCCGCCGACCCGCCGAGAGCGACCGCAAGGGCCACGAAAATGCCGCACTGGAGGCGGACGAGCAACAGAGGACCGAGAATGCCGACATGTGACGTCCAGGTCCACAGCGGTACTCGTGGAAACATGCTGGAATGGCTATGTGCATCCGCGCTGAAATATTGCGCTGAGTGTTTCAAAAGTATTTCCAAATTACCATTGTCACTGACATTTCACAACGGCAAGAATGCAAAGGAAAACCACAAGATGCATGAAAAACTCAGTCCCGCAGGTGATATTCCAATGTTTATGCACAGCGCGCGTTCATGTCACGCATCTCTAGAGATGGGAGCAAATATCAAATGTCACACATATCTAGATGGCATGCTTGCAAATGTCAAACAAGGGCATGTAATAAGGGCATGGGGAGGCATTTCAGAAGCGTGGAAAATTAGTTAAAGACATTTTTGACTGCGCTAGCTAACCATAAGGATGACGATATGTTCCATTAGTTGTCACTAGGCTGTCATAAAAGTCACATGTCCACACCACGCTATGCACTGTCATTCACGGGCGTTACTATTTTCACTTTACATTCAATCGTAATGTAACTGTAGTTTGAAGCCTGTGGGTAGTGCCATTTGGTAGATCTTTCATCGCCAGCTGGAGGCGTGCAGCAAGTTGAAACGGGCATCCACCATGTAATCTCAATAGCCATGACGGCGGCTGAATATTAGGGCTTGTTCCATCGTAGTCCTATATCAGCATCAACTGTCCGGCTGAGGTAGGCATCAAAATCAGCACTCCAAGAAGTTCGTCGGTCCGGAAAACTGTCGTCATAAGGCTCATCAAAACCCGTAGGTCCGGAGCAATGGTGTCTTACGCTCTATCAAAGGTATCCCTTATCCTACGAAAATAGTCATGTTTATTCATGTTATTCTAAAGTTTAGGAATAGCTTCATCCAAGAATCAAGGTTCCCCATTCAGACATACCTGACATGTCCTATGTATATGTTCTAATGTGCACTCGATAATGTTTGAAAATAATGCCACCATTGACGTGGACATTCCAACACGGCCACGCACGCACCACAAATATAATGTATCCGTCATCAGCAATGCCAATGAGAAAATTAGAGAGCGACAACAAGAGCGAAAGACCAAAAGCGAGAGCCAGAGCCAGAGCCAGAGCCAGAGCCAGAGCCAGAGCCAGAGGTAGAGCCAGAGCCAGAGCCAGCGCCAGAGCCAGAAAGCCAAGGCCAAGAGACAGGAGCGGAGAGAAAATTGAGGCTGCAAGGACCAATCACAATATGAGGTGATTATGTGGCAGGAGCAGCAGACGATTGTGGCGTGGAGGCCACCTCCATAATGTCTGATTGTGTTCTCAAACTTTGAGTTCGTCCGCTCACAAACTTCCGAAAACAATGGGAACCCAAAATCATCGCCTGAATCAGAATCGCCTGAATTTAAACTGAATCTGAATTTACACTGAATCTGAGTCTGAACTTAATATGAGTCTGGTTCAGAACAACGGAATGCGAATCTAAACTGCATTTGAGGGAAGTGACACAGTTGTGTAAATTAAGAAAAAAAATATATAAATCCACCAGGGCATATGTCATTAAAGCAATAGCCATGCACCCCAAGAGCGAGTTACAAATGGATACGTTATTCGTTCCGACCACTTCGGTGGCGTAGCGTGTTGACGCGTGTGTCAATCATGGTGAGAGGTCCTTGATGCAAGCCTTACTTCACAAGCCGATTTCAGCAGGCAGTAACAGGGGAGTGATCGCCCTGTCACGGGATTGACGCTGCGCCAACCAGCCTCATTCAGCTGCGCACGCGGCGGTGGGTCGCAGCTTGGTCTACCTCTAAAAAGGTCCCGCGGACCGGTCGCCCACCCCGAGAACACGGCCTCGCTGTGAGTCGTCGGGGCAGTCGTCTGACCTCTAGATCCGACAGATCGGTGGCGGCCTCTGGACTTCCTGGCGGCAGGCGCGTGGTCAGCGCCGCCCCGCAGGGGTGCAGAAGACGGAACCTCTGCTGCGTACAGCGGATAGTGTATGCGGTCAACGCTGATCATCAGTGTCTTCACCTGGGACTTGTTAAACTAGGGCGAGCAGGTGAGACGTGTGCAGACTTCGTCAGGTGTTGTGCCATTGTTCGCTCCCACAGACCGTGTCCGCAGCCACGTTCCACCTGCCAGCGGATATGAGTTGTTGCTGTTTATATGTATTTGTATATATTTATCTATATAGGTTTTATATTCATATGTTATATTACATACATATATAACCACACACACACACACACATACATATATATATATATATATATATATATATATATATATATATATATATATATATATATATATATATATATATATATATATATGTATGTATGTATGCATGCAAAATACCACAAAATCAGTCACCTTCCCGCGTGTTTGATGCGTTGCTGGACAGTTGACGTGGTGGCCGCGGCTGATTGCTATTCTATGGCCGCGTATCGATCACACAGAGCGACTGTGGGCCGGCCGGCGCGCTGCGTCTGCTGCGCCCAGTCAGCAGAAGGCTACTGGCGGCCGTGCGCATCGCCGACCTCGTGACCGGTTTGTGACGGCTGTCGGCGCCCCTGTAGTGAGTGCATCTTTATTGCCCAGCGTGCTGCTTGCCAGGGCGCCGTCTGACCGGGCGGCGAAGGACCCTGCCCGCCCCAGGTCTGCCCAGTTCATGGCGCCGCCCACTCGGTGCGGGGTGCCGCCGGCCGACGCGGTACCGCGCCAAATTGCGTGCACCGTGCACCGGCCTGCGCCCGTGTACGAGTCAGAGCGCGTGGCGGCCGGCTGCCGCGCGCTGGATGTCACCCTGGCGGCCACCGAGCCGCTGCACCAGATCACCTTCCGCAACTACTATGTGCACACAGTGTCGGTGTGGGTGCAGCGGGCGGCAGAGGTGGAGTCGGAGTCGGCGGCGGCGGCGGCCGGCGGACGGCTGACCCGTCCCGGCGCCTGGCAGCTGTCGGTGCGCGACCGCACCATCATGCCGAACCCGCTGTACGAGACCGGCAGTCAGGACTGGGTCACCATCAGTCGCAAGGAGAGCCTGGTCGACTGGCGCGATGTGGTGCGGCTGCGCCTGCTGCTGCGCCAGCCGGCGCCGCACTGGCGCGCCTTCCGGCTGGATGAGGTACGCCTCCTGGCGGCGCCGCCGGTCGCCGCGCACCCTGCCGACCGGCCGGCCCCGGCCTGGCCTGAGCTGGTCGAGAACACGCGGCGTGCCGTCGAGGCCGAGAACGGCGTGCAGGTGTTCTCCAGTCCGGACGGTGAGATCGTCTACATCGGCGGCAGCTACGACATCCAGGCGCTGCAGATACCGGACGGTTGAGGCGGCGCCGGTGCCGACGGCTGAACGGTGCAGTTGGGGCGGAGCTCGGCACCTCCGGCCCTCCCCCTCCCCCTCCCCCCTTCCCCCCCCCCAGTCACGATAGAGACACGGCGACCCGGCAGGAGCCGACACGAGGACGTCGTAACTCAGTGCTTTTGGTGAATTCAGTCAGCGTAAAGTGATTGATAGTGACAATATGGATATTAAAAACGCATCTGAGCAACTTTGTCTGAAATGTCTTGATATGTATACCTAATTGTTGCATGAATCGCAATAGACCACGGGCCCTACAAGAATAAGAAGAAAATGCGAATTTAGTGAGGGCTGTTGGCCGAGCAGCTGTAAGCCTATGCCCCACGCATTGTAGGGCAGATTTAATAACCGCCCTTGCTCTTTGTTAATGCATTCGTGGTGATGGTGTACCAAAGGCGCAACACATGGTGCAACTTATAAATGCTCCATTAACACTAACTGTTAATTACTGTTTCGCTTGTTCTATTGCAAGCGAGCCGATGCGACAATAGTACAAAATTATAGGTAGCTGCCCGGGGGTGAAAGTCAGGGCAGGCTCGTGATCAATTCAAATGGATACAGAGCCGTCAGAACACAGTCTTCGGCGTCAGAAATATATAAAAATGAGTCATATCGACATTCGTGTGTGCTCATCATGACGCGCGCGCACTTTGACGGATATGTGCCACACACCTTCACGCATAGTTCACACACCGCTCGTGGCTCTGGACCTTCCCTTCGCGCCAATGCCGGCTTTCGACTGCATATGAACTAACTTTTGGCATCATAAAATGTCAAAAACCATAAAGCAGTAAGACATGCGACCATAATCTATTTCGGCTTTGTGGATGGGAGCTCGAGAAAAATCCGTATTGGGTAAAAGATGGTCATGGCGACAACGGCAAAAATAGGAGGAAACAGGAGAGAAACGTTTGTGGAATGGGGCCGAGAGAAAAAGGCGCGGCTACAGTGGAGCAGGCGCAAGCAATGCACGCGTTGTTGCTAAACAAATGTCCCATGTGGTGCTGGCTGTTGACATGGCTTTGTTTCCACCGCAAACTCCCGTACATACGTACGCTCTTACCTTTGAAGAGAGGGCTGCAGAGGGGTATTGCAGCAAGGGATTGAATCTACATACAATTACTGCATTGAAACTAGCGAATTTTTCGAGGGAGTGCCTGCACTATATTACACCGCACAGACACGCGTAAACTCGGCGACTACTTTACATGGTAAACTATTACGGCGAAGCGGTGTGGACAGGAGCGAATACGACGGATCACAGCTCCACGCATGCGTGAGAGGCTGTGAAAGATATCCGAGTCCGCCCAGACTTGGTTGGCACGCATGTAAGCTGGAAGAGATAGGTTGCACGTTGGTTGCCACACATGAGGTCTGCACGTTGGTTGGCACACATGGGTCTGCACGTTGGTTGGCACGCGTGGGTTGTTTGCACGTTGGTTGGTACGCGTGGATCTGTCCGTTGGTCGTTGGCACGCGTGGGTCTGCTCGCGGGTTGGCACGCCTGTGTCTGTTCGGTCTGGTTATTTTGTTTGGTGACGCGGATGAACGGTGGACTCCGGAGGGCGACGAGACCACGGCTCCATGACGACAAGTAAAAATTTCCCAATTCGTCCGTTCTTATCTCTTTAGAGATAGAAGAGAGGCCTGGGATACCTGGTGATGAACCTCTGCAACGGAATCGATAAGCGCTTCCCTTGATGTGTTTGAACAGCGTCGACGATAAAATGCAACACTAGCGCTCACCAGTTCCTCACAAGTTCTCTTAACACTGGGCTTGTTCCTGACACAAATGTAATGTCATGTAAGCTGTATATCGATGGTACGATGTAGGGTAATATTATTTTTCCATCTCACTGTTAAACTGTTTCAGATAAAGCGATGATAAGTGGTTCCTTTTCTTAACTGTCAATTTGATAAAATATGCAAGCTTCTTTGCATGCTAAATTACCAGGGGCCGGCTGTCTATAGCCGGCTTGATTCTGGGAGCCATATCAAGGCAAATCACAGTCTGTTTAAAGGACGTGCATCGGTGAGTTGCGTCTTTCTCATGGGAGGTGATGTTTGGCTACAGTGAACTACAATATCATCAGATATATCAGGTGTAACCATTTATGCGATCTCCGAAGACTGGTTTGTCCTGGGTGAATGTAGGGAATGTATAAGCATGAGGGGGACCTCGTAAAAACATTGGGAAGATGACTCGGATCTCGACGTGGACAGTTTCAAACGACTTGGATCCTGATAATAGAGTGGCTACGACATCTCAGCGGAGAATGGAAGGTAGTGAGGCGTTTTTATAAAATCAGGGCCAATGTCAGGTAGCAAAACATGTGGAAGAACGCCAGGTATGATGATTTGTACGCAAATTAAGCTCTATCAAATATGCATGTTGCCCCATTATCATTAATAGTACCTTCACTACCCTACACCCTACGCTGATCTATAGTTGGTTAACGGCGGATCAAACTGCCACAATTTAGAGTGGAGGGGCCATCGATGCTATTTGCATCGTTACTCCTTTCTGATCAGCGAATGCTTTTGTTTGTCTTCACACGTTCATATTCTGTATAATAATAGGCTAAGGTGGTTTTGTTCTTTATGGTTTTTAGGTTCTCGCTGATCCGCCATGTTCTGCTAAGATTACGCTTTCAAATGTTATAACGTACTCCGTTGAATTTAATTGCATCTGCCAATGACCAAATGGTTGACATTTATATATTTCCATCAAACACAGTCGTAACATCGAAATGCAACCAAATGCAGAAGACCTGGATAGCTTATTGAGATCTGACGCAATTTTCGTGTTTACCGTCATTTTTCCTCCTGGTTCCTGAGTATACCTCGACCAGTTCTCGAAAAGGCTGGCAAAATAAAAACAAATACCGCAACGCATGGTCATGAAAATCTGTGGCCACTACAAGAGGCAGAGGTCGCAGCGTTTTATTCAAGACAGAGCGTGTCACATAGATAATACAGTGGAAATAGTCCTATTCCTCGGAGAAAACCCTGGAGAATGGAGATATAGTTCGGTTGATAGCTCCACAACAGGCCTTCATGGAAATGGTATCAGAACTGAATTTAAAATTGCCTGCCGACGATCTTACTCGATTTTTGAGTTTTTTCAGCACTAGGGGTTTGTTTGGCTTGGTGCCAATCTGACATGTGCGCCGTGCGCCACTAGCGCCACGGCGCGGCAGCTAGCGGCTGGAGTGTCAGTGATATTTCCGCACTCGGACGCGCGACACCTCCGTAAAATATACAGTGAAACCGAACATGGCGCGGTCAGTAGGACCTTGATAACACGGATGTACAGCGTGTGATTGCGTGTGATTGTGTCACAGTGAGTGGTGACGGACTCGTGCCATGAAGGACAGTGAGGAGCACATAGCGCGCCTAACGACGCTGCTCGAGCGGCAGTCGGAGATGGCCGCCCAGGCCAAACAAGAGGCCTCGCAGCGTGACGCGCGACTGAGGGCGACGTTAGAGCGTGCTCTTACGCAGGGGCGTCCAGCAGCTCCACCGTCGGTCGACGCCAACGCAGTCGTGCAGGCTGCGGCTGCCGCCGCACCCGCAC